TTTTTTTTTTTTTTTTACTGAGGGGGAGGGTGGAAATCATGCCTCAAGAAACATGTGTGCGCACACACCAAAGTGAAGTTAATAAAAGTGTCAGGTAGGCAAACAAAATACCATTTATTATTAAGCAGCAATAAAAGGCTGCATTGATGGGTATGAGGAATCAAGCAACCAGGGAGCTCAAGAGAGAGGGACACTAGTAGAATCTCAGAGCTCATTACAAAAGTTTGCKCTCATCTTGAGTATCAGACCTGGTGGCTTTTAGGAACATAGGGACAAAACATTTGAAATCTCAAATCCTAAGCTATCTCTTTCCAATTCTGCAGCTATTCAGAGCTCAGCAAGGCTGCAGCTAAAATTTGCTGCAAAAAGAAGTRTAAGGTCTGCAAGCCCTCTCAGAGGGAGATTTCATTCAGCCTGACACGGCCTCATGTGGCAAGGAGTACATTAGCAGATATGAATTTTAAAGGTAAAGTCATCTCCAGGGCAAAAGCAGGTTATTCATTTAGCCAGAGATGTGCTATCTGAAAAACTCCTCAAGGAAAGGATATATTTAGAATATATTTAGTAAACATCTAGCTGGTTAATAAGTGTTCCACTTCTCATTACAATCACAAATTTTCATGAAACAAAGCCTATTTTCTTCAATATGGCAGAAGCTGAGTTTTAAGGTATTCGCTTTCTTACTCTCAAACTTTCTTATGTTATTTTTTCTTTGATTGCATTATCTCAATCTTGAGTACATTTGAGAACCCTACAGGACATATACAGGACCCTCAGTGTATGTAACATTCTTTTAAATTATCCCAGAAAAAGACAGACAAGTATGTTACCCTTTTACMCCTATGTTACCCTTACCCTTTTACACTTCAAATAACAAAATACGAAAAAAAAAAAAATACTGAGCAGAGGAATCTCAGTCAGAAGCTGAAAACTCCATAATACAGAAAAAGTATCTGTATATAGGTCAGCAGTATGAATCTTTCGAGCCCAAAGAAAGATTTCAAAGTGCTTGGTATAGAGACTTCACTYTAAGACTTTCTCTATTCTCAAAATTTTAGAAAGAAAAAGAAAGCTCCTCTGGCTTTGGGTTGTTGGAGCGCTTAATCATCCTGACTTTTTCTGATTATCTAATTTGTTCATTTCCCCCCAAATTTCTTCTTGGAAGGGAGGGGATTAAAAAACAATGAAGGATGAAATAAGTCTTTGTGGAGATAAAATCTTTTAGATTTGCAATATTTCCAAGAGACCTCTCTAGTTCTCTCTGTCCACACATGGAGGTATTTTATTTCCCCTCATTGCCTACATTAGAATTAATTGGTTTTGAATGTACCACTTGTGTGTGTGTGTGTGTGTGTGTGTGTGTGTGTGTGTGTGTGTGTGTGTGTGTACTAATAAACATTTTGAATTATTTCCTCCATTTATTTTAGAACAATGCAGAGTTTCTTCAGCCTCAAAGCTGATAGACATTTGTTCTGTATTTCATCACACAAAGCCCAAATGTCTGGTATCACTACATACAGTCTTTTCCTTGGGCAGTAAAAATGGCTTTACATCACCCACTTTTTGACATGGATGCAGAAAGGGCAGGAATGGGAGGAGCCCARCACAAGCCCTTGCCATTTTCAGATTGTTACCATTCCCTAAGCAGACAGAGGAACAAAAAGGGCTCTCTGTGCCAGCAACATCTGCCTCAGTGATTTAAACATGATGAGATGAGACCCTCTGGATGAAAACCCAGCTCCTGTATGCTGAGACTTTCTTCTCAGCATTCTTCTCAGCATTTTCTTCTCTTCATCCCTTCCTAATGTTAAGGAAAATGACACTGAAAAAGTCTTTTATGATTGGCCTTCCTATATTAATTAAAGGTAGTACTACATGGTCTAGAGGCACATCATTAAAGACAAAAGCAAAGTTAACAAACAAGGACAATGTAAAAATATTTAAGGATCTTTCCCTACCTGTTCTTGATTTATTTAACACACTGAACTGTTTGCAAACTCCAATTTGATGCCTGGGCAATTGAACATTTGTCTGTAAAACTGCTGTGACAAATCTATTTCATGGTAGTGTATAATTACACTTTTCACAAAAGACTATGTGATAACATAGTGTTGGGTTATCTTCTCATTACATATCAGATATACATGATCTCAAGGCTCTTCCATGTAGATATCCAGTATAAATAAGTTAAAAAAAATGTACAGCTTTATACTACCCCTTGCCTGTCCTGCGGCCACGTGCAGGATATTCACACCTAGCCCTTGGATATTGTTTTGATCAGTTTGGTCAAACTGCAGGACCACAGAACTGTATAATCCGTCCCCGTTGCATCCCCAGGAGATGCCCATAACAGGGATGCCAGGCGTCCCACCTGCAGCACCAAGGCAGAGGAGGTCCCCTCCACTGTCCAGTCACAGAGCAAGCGGGACAGCCCCTGTGCCCTCAATCTTGCTATCCATTTGCTATTTCCATGCTTCATTCCTTTCTCTCTACCTCTTCGGGAACTTCTCCTGTACTGTTGGGTCACGATACCAGAGACGATGACTACGTCTTGTTGCTTCTTTTGTTGTTATTTGTTTTGGTTCAGGACAACAGGGTTTCTCTACACTTGGTTATCCTGCATACATTTGATTTTTGACCCATTTTCTAAGGCAAATAAAACCAAATGTATGCAAATAAAATCTCACATTGAAAACACTCTATATTTACATTTTCAGATTCTTTGAATGTAAGAATAGCCACCATTTTGGCTGACATTGTTGCATAAAATACAATTTTGGAAGCAATTATTTTGAATAAATGTCACAGTATATGAAAGTTGATATGGTTTAGACTGTAGTTCTAACCATTGTTTTCTCTATTTTTTTCCGTTGTTACACAACATCTTTTTGTTTGTTTGTCTGTTTGTTTGTTTTTAATACTAGGTACCAGTAAGATGCACAAATGATTTAATGCTTTGGGGCTAGTAAAAACTGATCACTTAAGGATCGTTAAAAATTTGGCTTTGCAGAACTGGATGTTAAGGTGCCTGTCTCAGTAAATAGATAAATATGCTACCACAATAATCAATATGATCCTTATGTCACTATCAGTAGTATCCAAAGTAGTATCCAATCTGCAAAATTCCTGAGGCTTTTTTCAATCTCCCTCTTCCACAGGCACTATGAATTATAATTCTACTGCAAGAGGATTTAGATCCTGCCACTGGGCAATTCTGTGCAAAATGCGCAGCCGCTTGGAGAGGTCACACACAATGCAAACCATAAAGTCAGAGCGAGCTGCACATTCCCCTTTGTATTGGCAGGACTGGCTGTTATTCTTTTCTGAGYAGATGCAACCATAGAGAGAGGAAACTCAGGCGACCAGGGATGTCAGTGAAGGCAGCAATGAGGGAAGGGTTACCCACTAGTCCTCCCCACTATGAAGGTTAAGCCAGGGAGCATTTGTTAAAGCACAGGCAACAATTTTCAAAGAAGGAGATGCTCGCTGCAGTTGTAATCCTTTGCACAAAAACATCACAAAGAAAAGCAGTAGGTAATTCAAGAAAACTAATGTTTTATAGAAAAAYGTATATTGGGAAAAAGTGAGTGAATCCAACAGGGCAAAGAACTAGTACAATTATTCCATGCCCTCTCTCAAACTTGAAGAATTCTGCCCAGTTCTGCTCTTACTGCTGTCGTATGCTATAATAAAGGTTAGTGTAAAAATGTGTATCAATGATAGAACTCTCTCCACAAAATGTCATTACTTCTGGCATAATTCATCAGGCTATAACATTAATATGGTCATTAAATTTTATAGTGAATTCCAGATCAATTGCAGCTCCTGACATTTATCTAACTTGAATGCTACAGAATATACTTTTTTGTTTGATTCATATCTGTTACCAACTAAGCGGATGAATGCAGCTTTTTTTCTCTTTTGGTGACAGAGGGTCTGCACTTGACATCTTCTTTTAAAGTTGAGCAGACAGCTTCATTCAAACTGCACTGCTCAGCAACCTCTGATATTCTAGCAGTATCCAGCTGATCTCCTTTTGTTAAGGGACACTTCAAATCTCTATTATAAATCCTTCTTTTAAAAAACAGAAAAAAAAAAAAGGGCAAGTTTAAAATTCAGCCATGAAAATAGCTTTTACAAGCTGAGTTCTAACCTCCATTTTTCTGCSTCCTCCCTCCAACCTCTTTTAAAATTTGCATTTAGATTTTTCCTGCCTGGAGATAGAGGAAGGGAATGGAATAATAAAAATAACCCATTCCAAAACTAATAGGCATACACCAAGCCAACAGATATCAGGTATGTTSTTCCCTATGAAAAATAACATATCAGATCATTTATATTTGCAACTGTCAGCCCCCCAAACCTACGCAACATTAAAAGAAAAAGAAAAAAAAGTCACATATAAACTGATGTTCAAGGTCATACATCAAAAAAACATTCCCCAATTCCCCTCAGGAATAGCCTGTCTTTACAGTAGCCTATGGAACAACTCTGGGTACTGAGATCTATAGGAAATGGTCAGGATTGAACATATTGTAGCACCATATTTTAATATAGTGCTATTATCAGTAGCAGATTAATTCAATTACATATACAGCACATGTTCTGTTTCAGTAGATCAGAACAAACCATTATAAACTGTGTTTCAGTGCCCCTGCTTGTTCAGCAGTGAGCCCCTTCCCCACAGATGCAAAATGGAGCTGTTTGGAGATAGACATAGTCAATTATCATGGATATATTGTTAAAAAAAAAAAAGAATTAATAAAGAATTAATAATACGTGCTGTCAATGTGATGTATTCCCAGTGAGTAAGTGCTCATACAATCAGCAAACTATGTAAGTTTTAGAGTTAGCCTTCACTTGTGCTAGT